TTTTATTTCATTTCAGATCAATCACTAATTGGTTGTTGTTTCCATGCATTCATTCTTGTAACTTTTTAAAAAAATGAAGTTGTCAATAATTTGTAAAAAGCGAAAGGACTAGGAGAGCTGTGACATAAAATAAGCCACAACTTATACAGAATTTCTCATTCCATCATTCAACGAAAATATGTTGAACATTTATTGCTCTATTGTTAGAACATCTAGCACTTTCCTATTGCTGGTGTGACAGAATTGAATAAATGGAAAAAAATCCTTTAGATTTAGATTAGAGTTTATGTTCTAATGGAAGAGAAAGAGATAAAAAATAAATTGTCATGTAATGATAAGTAATAAAAAGAAGTGTGGACCACAGCATGAGGTCAGAGAGCGAAGAGGATGCTCTTTTGGATAGGATGGTCAGAGAAAACATCTCAGAAGAGGTAGTGTTTGGCAGTCCTAAATGAAGTGACTAAGCAAGTCATGCAGCTACCAATTTTTATTTATTAGATTTAATTAAAGAGGGGCCCACTTCTATGTTAACATGGCCTTTCTTTTCAGTGAGGGGCTTTGACTGTTGTAACAAATTTTGGAAAAATGAAAGAATTCCTTTTTCCCCTAGCAATCTAGAAAAATAATAGGTTAGAAATTATTAATAAGGTCTAGGAGTAACCAATCCCAAAGCAAGGTGACTGGATTTGATAACCCTATGTTTTTTTTTGTTTTTTGTTTTTTGTTTTTTTGAGTTGGAGTCTCACTCGGTCGCCCAGTCTGGAGGGCAGTGGCCGCTCCCGGCCACCGCAGCCTCGACCTGCTAGGCTTCAGCGATCCTTCCGCCTCAGCCTTCCGAGTAGCCGGAATTACAGGCGCGCGCTACCACGCCCGGCTGATTTTTTGTTTTATTGTAGAGATGAGGTCTCGCTCCCAGGCGGGTCTCGAACCTGCGGGCTCAGGCAATCCATTCACCTCAGCCTCCCAAAGGCGCGGGATTACAGGCTGAGCCACCGAGCCCGGCTAACCCTATGTTTTTTGTGATGTTGTTGTTATCAATAATCTGATTTTTATGACCCATCAATGTAATTATCAACTAGCCAGTGAGAGGTACTAGTTCCCATCCAGCCAATTAGAAATGAAATCAAGCAACTGTTCATTACCCTGCAGTAGGATTTGGGATAGAAAATGCTTTTGACAAATACTCTGTACTCTAATTAAAGTTTAGCATTTCCTGCACAAAGAAAATAGCTGATCATATATTATTATGAACTTACTGCTTAGATAAATAAAGGTACATAGCCAGAATGTTTAAAGATTTTGGTGAGACCACGAATTATTAATCACCCATTTTCCTTAACACATGCTTCTCTCTATCATTGTCTCCAGAGTTAGATGGGGGATCTGTCGCCTTAAATTGGCATGGATTTTTATTTATTTATTTTTAAATTTGTTTATAATTGACACATCATTGTACATGTTTATAAGGGTACCGTGTGATGTTTCAATACATACATGTATACATTTCATAATGATCAAATTAGGGTGGTTAGCACATCAAACATCGAACATGTGTCATTTCTTTGTGGTGTTAACTTTCAAGATCTTCTTTTCTACCTGTCTCAAAATCTACAGTGTATTATTATTAGCTACAGTCACCCTACAATGTAATAGAATGCCAGAACTTATTTTTCATATCTAGCTGTTAACTTTGATCCGTTGGCCAACCTCTCTCTATCTCCCTTTTCCCTTCTCCTTTCTAACCTCTGGTAACCACTATTCAACTCTTTAATTCCACAAAAATTTCCAACTTTTTAAAAATTCTACATATGAGTAAGATTATGTGGTATTTGTCTTTCCATGGCTGGCTTATTTCACTTAACATTATGTCCTCCAGCTTCATCCATGTTGCCACAAATGACAAGATTTCCTTCTTTTCAGAGTTGATAATATTCTATTGTGTGTAGCTTCAGTTGATGGATATTTAGGTTGATTCTGTGAATAGATCTATAGTAAACATGGGGGTGCAGATCTTTCTTTGACATACTGGTTTCAATTCCTTTGAATAGATGCCCAGTAGTGGAACTGCTGGATTATATGGTAGTTCTATTTTTAGTTTTTTGTGGAACCTCCATGCTGTTTTTCATAGTGGCTGTACTAATTCACATTCCCACCAATAATGTAGGAATGTTTCCCTTTCTCTGCATCCTCAGTAGCGTTTCTTAGCTTTTTTTGTATTTTTTAAATAACAGTTCTCACTGGGGTGAAGTGATATCTCATTGTGGATTTGGTTTGCATTTACCTAATGATTAGTGATGTTGAGCATTTTGTCATATACCTGCTGGCCATTTGTACATCTTCTTTTGAGAAATGTCTATTCAGATCTTTTTGCCCATTATTAAAATTTGAATTTTTGCTACTGAGTTGTTCCAGTTCCTTGGATATTCTGGATATTAACCCCTTGTTGGTAGCATAGTTTGCAAAAAAATTTCTTCTATTCTGTAGGTTGTCTCCTTACTTTGTTTATTGTTTATTTTATTTTGCAGAAGCTTTTAGTTTGAAATAATGCCATTTGTCTACTTTCTTTTGTTGCCTGTGCTTTTGATGTCTTATCCAAATATTCTTACCCAGGCCAGTGTTATGAAGCATTTGCCCTATCTTTTCTTCTATTCATTTTATAGTTTTGAGTCTTACCTTTAAGTCTTTAATCCATTTTTAGTTGATTTTTTTAATATGGTGAGAAATAGCTGTCTAGTTTAATTCTTCTACATGTAAATGTTCTATTGTCTCGCACCATTTATTGAAGAGACTGTCCTTTCTTCAGTGTGTGTTCCAAATACCTTTGGTGAAAACCTGTTTATTTATTTTATTTTATTATTCTTCAGACTCATCATTTGCACTCCATGGATTTTGGAGGAAGGTTAGACCAACAAGGTTTGGCACTGTCATAATGAGCAGAGTTGGGATGAGTGAGGAAGTTGTGAAGACTACATTGTGTTGCTTCCTAAGGCAGTGGAGCTGGGTCTTACCAGTATAACTTTGGTGACAATGGAGCTCCTTTCTTACTAATGAATATGGTCTTTTAAATTTAATTCCTGGGCAAAGATTCTCTTTTAGATATCTGTCTCCTTTAAAATGCAAACATTTCAATGAGAAGATAAGCTTGAAAATTAAAATCCTTGATGGAACTAGAAAGGAACAACTTCACCATCTTCTTGAAGAGGGCCTCTCAAAATATGAACCCTCTTAGTCTCTTTCAGAGTGTGTATGTTGACATTTGTTCTAAAGGTGTGAAACAAAACTGCTGACACCTTAATTTGAATAAAAGCAATCACACCAAATGACACTAATAGCCATGTATTCTTCATCATTACACACTTGGACCTAAACACACACATACACACATACTAGCTTCACCTAAGAATGTCCTTAAAGCAGTAACATTTATTAGTTCTGTTGAGTCCTGACCAGTGACTACATGTTTTTTTAATATTCTGCATAGTGAAATAAGTACACATAAAGCACACCTGAGACTACTGAAATACTATAGTCATCTCAAGGAAAAATACTTTTGTGGCTGAGTTGTGTACTGAATTAGCCACTTTTTTCCTGGAACTCCATTTTTCTTAAAAGCACAAGCAACAGACAAACTATGACCATTCAGACTTGAGTGTTTGGCAGACATTTTCTCAAAACAAACCAAAAAAAAAATGAATGAAACCAGTCTCTGCAAGAAAAACAACTGACAGTTCTGTTACTACTAGTAAAATGTGAACTTTTAAGTGAAAATTATAGTGTAGAAAACTTGTGTATGTTATCATGAGTTTGACAGCTTCCTAATATTGAAAGACTTTTCTGATGAATTTGGTGATGATATTAACTAATGTGATGTTTTAATATTATGTAATGAAAAGTGTCAAAATGTGGATGATCTGCATAACTCAATAATGCGATATTTTCCAGATGACCAACACATGATGTTACAAAATCATGCAGGGTAGAACAATCCACTCAGATTACATTATAGAACACTGAATTTTCATGTAACAGAATACGAAAAGTTACTATAAGGTTTCAGGTCCCAGACTGTAACTAACCTTTAAGAGACTACCATCTGTTTAGTTTAGCATAGTAACAAAAATGTAAATCTACAATTATAACCACAGACTGAATGTTGAAGCAAATATGAGAAGGCAGCTTTCTTCTGTTAAGCCTGTATTAAAGAGATTTGCAAAAATGCAAAGCCATGCCACTCTTCATGCTATATTTGTTTTGTTTCAGAACATACAGTTGTCATAAAAGTGTTGTTATATGCAGTGAGTTTATTACTGTCATCTTTAAATGAAATAAGTAAATAAATTTTTTTTTCAGTTTTAATTAAGGTAAATGTCAATAAATAAACAAATGTGGGGGAATCATAATTTTTAAGAGTTAAGGGGATTGGAGACCAAAATAAATTTAATTTTTTCAATTTTAATTATGGCAAATATCAATAAATAAACACATATGAGGGATTTGTAATTTTTAAGAGTGTAAGAGGATCAGAGACCAAAAAGTGAGAACTCTTGTTCTACAGTAAACTTCCTGACTTTACAAACAAATGACTGAGGTCTTGATACGTGGTGTGGTTCATCCGCTGTGAGACAACTATGACTGGATCACATCTCTGTAATCCATTATTCCAATATTTGTTTTTTCTATTACTCTACACTATTCACCATTACTACCTTCATGTGGCTAAACTGATCAGCTACCCTCCAATGAGAAAGCTGGATAGGAGAGGATCTAATGGACATCAGTGGAGATAGGGTCTTCTCACAGCCCAGGACTGACAGGACAGGTGGGAGGCCCAGGGGCTCTTCCTGACTCTGGGTGCTTCCAGCTGGTAAGAAGTGGACTGAGAGGCAATGGGGGAGAGGGGGGAGGTGTGCAAGTGGAAGTAGAACATGACCCTCAACGATTTTATGCCTTTTGTTCTGACACACAGTGAGTGTTTCCTTATCCCTTGGCTTTCTCTCTAGGGAGTTTGCCCGTTGGAAAGTAAACAACTTGGCTCTAGAAAGAAAGGACTTCTTCAGTTTGCCCTTGCCTCTTGCCCCAGAGTTCATACGGAACATCCGCCTCCTTGGAAGGAGACCCAACCTGCAACAGGTTACTGAAAACCTGATTAAAAAGTACGGCACTCATTTCTTACTTTCTGCCACCCTTGGAGGTAAGCAACATCACAATCTAGAGTTAATTGGTTGCTAGACCATTGAAAAGAGTTCTAAGACCCATGTAGTATAGCCCCAACAGTCTTCCTGAGTCTTCTGTTCTTCCTAGCCTATTATTGCCTGAGAAGTGTTTTCTTCCAGGTACATTTGAGAACAGTGTGATTCTTGACATCCCAATTCACCCCAGAAAACATTTCTGTTTACTTACAAGTATCTCCTAAGGTGGCATATGGGGTGAGTAAAGGGAGGTGGTCCTGCTCCTACTAAGCACATGCCAGCAGGGGGCGCTCCCAGTTTTATTTTGACTGAGTCATCCATGCCCCCCCCCCCCCCCCCAAGGCTTCTTCACTTCCTAATATTGACTGTGGCTACAATGGTCAGACCCACAGGCAAAGAAGCCACGAAGTCCCTGATCCCTGCTTCCTCTCTATAAAGATTGGTAACGGATCAAACCATTTCCAATGATTCTGGGTTGGTGAATCATGCCCTGGTGGGGATAAGGGTAGAGTTGGACTTGAGCAACATGTGACCAGGACCCTGGGCAGAACCCACAAGCTCTGAAGAGGCAGTTTTCTCTGCCCTGGGACGAAAAAGCAGGAGTTACTATAACATTTAGCTCACTGTCTGATGGACAAAAAGAAGCTCTCCAAGGGTTCAGGCCAGCTGCCGGCATGTGGTCGGTGTTGAGTGTTTGATGAGGGAGGAGGGAGGTGGAGCTTTGAGGCTGTTGCCCTTTCTGTGGGAGCAGAAATAGCTGGTGACTTCTCATAAACAACTTGAGAGAGAGGATTGTATCTTCCCCATGGAGGTAGATTGTTTGAGCCAGAGATCAATAGAGGATGTTAAATGAAGAAGCTGGGGAGGCGGAGAGGGGGTGAACTTTGAGAGTCTTAAAGAACCAAGGAGAAGAAGGAGGAGGACCTCTCAGGCAGTGCGGCCTGTTAGTCTGCGGCACAGACTGATGAGACTTCTAAAGACGGAGGACTGGGAGAAGAGATTGTCATCAGGGGAAGCACGCTCCCCTTAGCTCCATCTCTGTGGGCCAAGCATTTCATGTTCTTGTTAGCAGGGGATTCAGGAGCAGAAAGCCTCACCGGTGAACTCCTGTTGTTTGCTGCAGGAGAAGAGTCCCTGACCATTTTTGTGGACAAGCGGAAACTGAGCAGAAAGACAGAGACAACAGGAGGTGCCTCTGTAGTGGGGGGCAGTGGGAACAGCTCTGCAGTGTCCCTGGAGACCCTACACCAGCTGGCAGCCTCCTACTTCATCGACAGAGAGAGCACACTGCGAAGGCTGCACCATATCCAGATAGCCACAGGGGCCATCAAGGTAAGGCCTGAGAGGAAGGGGGTGGACGGTGGGAGCAGGGGGAGGGAAGGCGCAGAGAAACCGAGGGGAAGCCGAGCCTCCTCCAGCTCCAGGTCAGCCAGGCTCAACTGATGGGAGAGGGAAAGAAGCTTTCTGGTGGAGGCACAGCTAGTCCTCATTTATTCCACCACACACACTCGGGGAACACCCACTCTGAGGCAGGCTCAGCAGGGACTGCTGTGTACAACAGACAGTGTCCCTACTGTCACGAAGGTTATGTTCTGGGGAGATGGAGGTAACGAGTGAAAAACAACAAAGTAGTTTTCAATGACCATATAAAGAAAAGTCAGAGTCATAAGTTAGAACATTTCCTGGGGGAATGGGAGGAAGCAGCTCATATTAGTAGACTGATCTGGGAGGGCACTTTAGGACTAAGATCTTAATGATGAAAAACAAGCTGTGTGCAGAACTGAGGGAAGAGTGTTCAGGCAGAGGGAATGGTAAGTGCTAAGGCCTTGAAGTGAGAACCAGTTTGCTGCCTCATTGGAATACAGAGAAGACTGCTGAGATATCCAGGAAGTGAAAACAAAAAAAACGCTGATAAAAGATGAAGTTCAGAGTAGGCTGGAGTCAGATTACATGGCCATGAGAAGGAATTTCAATAGAAGTCAAAGTGGAGTAAAAAAACACTGGAGAGTTTCAGCAGGGGAGTGACATGATCTCATGTATATTTTAAAAAGATGAATATTTAATTTGACTTTAACAACTGTAAACTTTATTGCATCTTCTCTACTTGTGCTTAGGAGATTTCTAGTAAAGTTCATATTGTTTTAGGGAAGACTAATGAAAATACTGCACATGAGAATGCAGTTGAGTTTTTATTCTGAATATAAAGTTAAGGTGAATAGACACCAAACTTGTCTTATATCTGCTTTTATCCCATCTGGAACTCATAAGATAATTTTCTTTTATTAATTCATTTGATAAATATTTATTGAGCACATAGTATGTGTCAGACACTGTTTTGGGTCCTGAGAATACCAGAGTAAACAAAACATATAAAGTCCCTGCCCTCATGAAGCTTGAATTCTAATAGCAGAGACATAGTTAAAGAAATACACGGGCATACCTTGTTTTATGGTACCTTGCTTCATTGCTTTTTGCAGATATGTATCATTTACAAATTGAAGGTTTGTGGCAACCCTGGGGCAAGCAAGTCTACTTGCACCATTTGACCAACAGCATGGGCTCACAATGTGTCTCTGTGTCACATTTTTGTATTTTTTTGCATATTTCAAACCTTATTATTAGTGTATCTGTTATGATGATCTGTAAGCAGTGATCTTTGATGTCACTATTGTAATTATGTGGGGGCACCACCAACTATACCCATATAAACACAAATTTAATTGATAAATGTTGTGTTTGTGCTGACCACTCCACTGACTGGCCATTTCCCCATCTCTCTGCCTCTCCTTGTGCCTTCTGATTCCCTAAAAAACAACAATATTAAAATTAGGACAGTTAATAACCCTACAGTGACCTTCAACTGTTAGGTGAGAGGAAGAGCCACACATCTCTCACTTAAAATCAAAAGCTAAAAATGATTAAGCTTTGTGAGGAGGGCATGTCGAAAGCTGAGGTAAGCCTTTTGCACTGGTTAGCCAAGTTGTGAATGCAAGGGAAAAGTTCTTGAAGAAAATTTAAAGTGCTACTCCAGTAAACTTGTGAATGATAAGAAAATGAAACAGCTGTATTGTTGATATGGAGAAAGTTTCAGTGATATGGATAGTTCAAACTAGTCACAACATTCCCTTAAGCCAAAGTCTAATCCAGAGCAAAGGACTGACTCTCTTCAATTCTATGAAGGCTGAGAGAAGTGAGGAAGATGCAAAAGGAAAAATTGAAGTCAGCAGAGGTTAGTTCAAGAGGTTTAAGGAAAGAAGCCACCTCCATAACATAAAAGTGCAAAGTAAAGCGGCAAATGCAGAAGTAAAACTGCAGCAAGTTATCCAGAATATCTAGCTATGATCACTGATGAAGGTTGCTATACTGAGCAATAGATTTTCATTGTAGACAGAACAGCCTTCTATTGGAAGAAGATGGCTGCTAGAACTTTCATAGCTGAGAGGAGAAGTCAATGCCTGACTTCAAAACTTCCAAGGACAAACTGATTCTTTTGTTAGGGGCTAATGTAGCTGGTGACTAAGTTGAAGCCAATGCTCACTTAACCATTCTGAATATCCCAAGACTTGTAAGAATTAGGCCAAATCTACTCTGCCTGTGCTCTATCTATAAAATAACAAGGCCTAGAAGACAGCACATCTATTTCCAGCATTGATTACTAAATATTTTAAGCTCACTTTTGAGATTCCTTTCAAAATATTACTACTCACTGACAATGCACCTGGTTACCCAAAAATACTGATGAAGATGTACAAGGAGATGAAAGATGTTTTTAATGCCTGCTAACTCAATATCTATTTTGACTTTCAACCCTTATTTAAGAAATGTATTTCATAAGGCTATGGCTGTCATAGATAGTGGTTCCTCTGACAGAACTGGGCAAAGTAAATTGAAAACCTTCTGGAAAGGATTCACCATTTTAGATGCCATTAAGAACATTTGTGATTGATGGGAGAGGGCCATTATTTCAACTTTAATGGAAGTTAGGGAGAAGTTGTTTCCAACCCTCATGGATGACTTTGAAGGATTCAAGATTTCAGTGGAGGAAGTAACTGCAAATATGGTGGAAACAGCCAGAGAACTAGAATTAGAAGTGGAGCCTGAAGATTTGACTGAATTGCTGTAATCTTGTGATAAAACTTGAACAGATGAAGAGTTGCTTCTTATGAATGAGCAAATTTCCCGCTGAATCTACTCCTGGTGAAAATGCTGAGAATATTGTTAAAATGACAATAGAGTATTTAGAACATTACATAAACTGAGTTGGTAATGCAGCAGCTGGGTTTGAGAGGCTTGACTCCAATTTTGAAAGTTCTACTGTTCATAAAATACTGTCAAACACCATCACATGCTGCAGAAAACTTTCATGAAATAGTCAACACAGCACACTTAATTTTTGTCTTATTTTAAAACATTTCCACAGCCACTCCAACCTTCAGCAATCAGCAGTCTGATGTCAACATCATGATGAGACCCTCCACCAGCAAAAAACTTATGACTTGCTGTAGTCTCAGATGGTTCCTAGCCTTTGCTAGCAATAATGTATTCCTTAATTAAAATATATACATTGTTTTTTGACATAATGCTATTGCACATTAATTAAACTACAGTATAGTATAAACATAACTTTTATATGCACTGGGAAACCAAAACATTTGTGTGACTAGCTTTATTGTGATATCTTCATTATTGCAGTAGTTTGAACTGAACCTGCAATATCTTCGAAGTGTGCCTGTAAAATGTCAGGTGTTGATGAGTGGAATAAAAAAATGAAGCCAAGTAAGAGGATAGAAAGTGATGGAGACAAGGGCTTTAAGGAAGACCTGTGTGAAGGAATGCCACATAAGCAGAAATCTGAATGGAGGGTGGGAGAGAGCAACATGGGTATCGTAAGTTAATTCTTGACAGAAGGAAGGGTATGTCCACGTGTCTAAAGGGGCGCTGTCCATTGTATGATTCAGGAATGCCAAGGAGGCAGTGAAGATAGCATGGAGTCTAGAGAGGAGTGAAATGAGACTTCAGAGGTTGCAGGGCCTAATCATGAAGCCCTTACTGAGTGGGGGGTCCTGGAAATCAGTACAGTAACTATTGCTGTGGTCAAGGTGAGACATAATGGTGGCTTAGACAAAGCTGGTGTTGCAGAAATGGTGAAAAACTGGCAGATTCAGAATATATTTTGATGATGGTGCCTACAGGATTAGGTAGTAGGTTGAAGAAAGGAGTCAAGAGTAACTGTAAGATTTTTGGCCTGAGCAAACTTTTGTGATTCCATTTACTGAGAAAGGTAACACTGGGAGGAGGCACAGCTCTGAAATAAATAAATCCAGAGTTTAATTTTAGATATGTTGAATTTGACATTCATATTAAACATACAAGTAGAGCTATCTAATAGTCAGTTGGACATAAACACCAGGATTTCAAGATAAAGGTCATGATAGGATACATAGATTTGGCAAAGAAATATATACAAATATGTAGTTGGCATTTAAAACTATGGGAAAGGATGAGATGAGATGAGAACACTCAAGGAGTGAGGGCAGCTAGTAAGGTAGCCGTAGAGCTGAGTTGTGAGGCACTCTAATATTCAGAAATGGGGAGGAGAGGACTCCAGCCATGAAGACTGAGATGAAACAGAGGGGCGGGAAGAGAACCAAAGAGGGATCACAAAGTTATGTGAAGAAGTGTTTCACTAGAGAAGGAACTGGCAACTGTGTCAAACACTGTTGACTGGGCACCAAGGTGAAAATTGAGACTCCATCTTCAATTTGGCAACATGGAGGTAACTGGTAACCTGGGGAAGAGTGGTTCAGTGCATGAAGGGTGCAAAGGCTGAGTGGAGAATATTTAAGAGAGGAAGCATAGTGAGGAATCAGATATGAGTGGAAACCATGTTTCCAGCTAAAAGCAAGCAGAAAAATGGGTGATGACTACAGAGTGATAGGGGTCAAACGAGATTTTTTTTTTTAAGATGGAAGATATTCCAGCCTATTGGTATGTTGATTAAAATAATTCCATAGAAAGAGAGAGAGAGAAAGTGATGATTCAGGAGAGATAGGAGATCATAGAAGGAGCTAAAACCTTGAATCAGTGAGGAGGGCTAATCTTCCACGCTTAAATAGAGGGTGAATCTTACATGGGGGCATGAGCTCTTCATCCTTTATAACAGGAGGCAATACAGAGCACACAGGAACAAATGCAGGGGGATGGATGTTAGTTGTGGTGGTGAAAAGATGCGGTGGTTGTTTTTCCTGATTAATTCTATTTCTTAGGTGGAACAAGAAGCAAAGTCCTTGACTAAAAGGAAGAAGAGGGAATGGTTACAAAAAGAATGTTTG